CAGCGGCTCTTTATCAGGCGACCGTTGCCGGTAACTCCGCACTGGGAGAGATATATTGCCTTCAATACGTTTGACTGCGCTACGGTCCAGCGGAGCCGCGACAGTACATGATGTTTCCCACGAGACAAGGGGATCGCTCCATACTGGCACCTCAGAGAAGGCTGAGAGACCCGGAAGGGTCAAGAATGGGACGTGAGCCCATCTTTTAAACTCGGTAGGTCCTATACATCTCAGGCTTGAATAAATGGCCATTAGGGTAGCGAATTCTCTAATGTTCAAAGACTCGAGCTACATAAATGATCTCTGGTCAAAACCACAAGCAAAAATAAACGGTTTGGTGCATGCTGAATTGAGGAGTGGGCGCTTCTCCGAACTCCGGCGCTGCGGGCCAGTCCTGGGGTCCATCTCCACAATGATATACCACCCCGGGACGGGGAAAGGAGGCATTCCCGGTGGTACGGAAGAGACGCGGCTTCACGATCAAGGGAGAAGAAACAACAGGCGAGGGTTGAGACCAGTTGAGGTTGGATAATTGGGTTCTGATATCTGCATGGAATCTAATAGCGAAGTATTTCGATCCCTAATGAGATGCAAGCAATTAAAACTTGTCATGTTCAGGTACGGGAGCAGCCTCGCTAAGTACTTTATCCAGGAGATGCCCGGGATGTCCAGCATTTTGGAGGGGTCCACTGATCAGATCCAGATTGTACACCCACATATAGGTATGGCTGAATGTACCTCTAGGTACCGTATGCCAAAGAGCTGGCAGTGTTTCTGTTCTAGCCCTGATTCCACTAAAATATGGCAGAGGTTTGGTGATCAAGGCTGGTGACTAAAGCAGCTCTCGTGTTCCATGTCTCTGGTCTATACTCCAGAGTCAGTAGTCCAAGGGCAAGTCTCCTGGGTCTTGTCTAGATTCAATTCTCAGTCAAACAGGCGAAAGTAACGAGAGCGCGCTTGAAGCGGTCCAAATACATTCGTTACCTGCCCGCTGGCCCGGGGTTGGCAGACCGCCAGAGCCCCACGCTGTTTCCTTGATTCCAGAGGTGCGCTTCCAGCAGCTTCAGTACAGGAGCAGGCTGTAAGATGCACAGAGTTAGGGCTCCAAGCATGTCGTATTTGGTTCAGTTACTCAATACAAATGGATGGCCATGCATGTACAAGTATCTCGACTCAGGTATAATACCAATGTATACTTACAAGCGTGTACCTCTTTCAATTTCTCGTTCTAAGTCTGCCCTGGAAGGTGAGCTCCCTCAAGGTACAGCAGGTGTCAGGCGCGCACACCCACTACCGCGCACACCCCCTCCGCCCGGACCAACCACCGGCCTGTATGAAGCGGGAGGTAGCAAATTTATCTCATCTTTCGCTCCATCTCGAAATTCCCCAATTAACGCAGTTCGTTCCTCTTCTTCTGCCTCTGCCTCTGCCTCTTTTTTCTCTCGCTCCCCTTCAGCTTCGTCGTGTCTTCTCTGAAATTCTTCTCTTGCCTCTGGCTTCGACTGTCAAAGGAGAGATTATCCTTTGTCTCTGTTCCTTCCTCAGGTCGACCTCAGCTGTTGGAACCACTCTAAAGAGTTTCCCCGTACTTCGCCCGTTGTCGGACCACCTCCTTGTGACATTTTTCGACGCCGACTTGTCTCCGGACTCTCCCAAAAGCTTCTGATTTTGATCTGCTGAGCACTGGTCTTGATCTTTCGCAACTTCAATTGCTACAAACGCAAATTTCCACTTTTCGAGAGCTTGTTCCTACCTCTCCGATCGACCCCCGATTTTACAATGTCCAAGCTTGCTGTGGCCACTGAGGCTGTCAAGGAGGCTGTCGTTGGGACACACGAGCCAGAGCAGCTTGCTGCCCACACAAAGGCACGATTTACTCAGTATGCTGTCAAAGACTCTGAGACGGGTGAGCTCTATCTCGGACCCGAGGAATTCATCAACGCTGTTGCGCCCACTGGCGAAGATTACGTGAGTCACTTACTGTTCTTAGCCGTATTACCTCTCGGCATGGATATTCACTGGGACCTCACTAACAATGATCAAACAGCACAAAATCTCACGCGACCAATACTCTATTCTCTTCAGCGTCGCCGACGTCAATGGAAAGGGCAGAGTGAGTCTAGGCGACTGGGGCGTGTTTGAGCACCTTCTCAGCAAGCCCGATGCCGAATATCAGATTGCCTTCCGTCTCTTCGACGTTGAGCGCATCGGAGCTGTCAAATACAACGACTTCCGTACTCTGTATGAGCTCAACAAGGGCCCTAACAACCTAGCATTCGATTGGGAGTCCGACTGGGCCAAGATTTACATTGGCAACAAGAAGCATCGTCACCCTCTCGACTATCCCCAGTTCTGCCAAATGTTGCGAGGTCTTCAAGGTGAGCGCATCCGACAGGCCTTCCACCAGCTTGACAAGGATGGCGATGGCTTTATCAGTGGTGAGGAGTTCGAGCGCATCATTGTCGAGACAGCACGCCACAAGCTGTCTGAGCATATTCTCGACAACCTGCACACTCTGGTCAATCTCTCTATCGGATCCAAGATCTCATACGCCAACGTGCGCGCATTCCAGAACGTCATCGGTGGCATGGATCTCGTTGAGATCATCTTGCGCCGCGCTATCGACCAGAGCAAGGATGGAAAGATCACACGCCCCGAGTTCCTGAATGAGGCTGCCAAACTCACTCGCTTCTCTCTCTTCACTCCCATGGAAACCGACATTCTCTTCCACTTTGCTGGCCTTGACGAGCCCTCTGGCCGCTTGGGACTCTCCGATTTCGCCAAGGTCCTCGATCCCTCATGGCGCAACCCTATTTATGATGCCGTCGAGGCTACCAAAGCCAAGGTTGCGGATGGAGGTATGCTGATGACCGTCTTGACTTCTGGTTACAACTTTGCCCTTGGTAGTGTTGCTGGTGCTTTCGGTGCTTTCATGGTGTACCCCATTGATTTGGTCAAGACACGGTTGCAAAACCAGCGAGGTGCCCAACCCGGTCAGCGTCTCTACAAGAACTCGATCGATTGCTTCCAGAAGGTCATCCGTAACGAGGGTTTCCGAGGTCTCTACTCGGGTGTGCTACCGCAGTTGGTCGGTGTCGCTCCGGAGAAGGCCATCAAGCTCACCGTCAACGACATCGCCCGAAAAGCGTTCACCGACAAGAACGGAAATATCACACTCTGGTCCGAGATGATCTCTGGTGGCTCTGCTGGTGCCTGCCAAGTTGTAAGTTTTTAATTGACAGAGCCCTGAAAGAAGCGCAACTGACAAACCTACCCCAGGTTTTTACCAACCCTCTCGAGATCGTCAAGATTCGTCTCCAAGTCCAGGGCGAGGTCGCCAAGACCGTCGAAGGAACACCGAAGCGATCGGCCATGTGGATTGTGCGCAACTTGGGTCTCGTCGGATTGTACAAGGGCGCTTCGGCGTGTCTGCTCCGCGATGTTCCCTTTTCCGCCATCTACTTCCCCACCTATAGCCATCTCAAGAAGGACTTCTTTGGCGAGTCCCCTACACATAAGCTGGGCGTCCTGCAGCTACTGACTGCCGGTGCTATCGCTGGTATGCCCGCCGCCTACCTGACAACTCCATGCGACGTTATCAAGACCCGACTTCAGGTCGAGGCTCGTAAGGGCGAGGCCACATACAACGGTTTGCGACACGCTGCCAAGACCATCTGGAAGGAGGAGGGCCTCACTGCCTTCTTCAAGGGTGGCCCTGCCCGTATCTTCCGATCATCGCCTCAGTTTGGTTTCACTTTGGCTGCGTACGAGGTTCTCCAGACTGTCCTGCCCATGCCTGGTACCCAGAAGGAGAAGATCCCTACAGGAGTGTCAGATGCTTTGTCAACGGTCAAGGGCAGCTTGGACACCAGCCCTTACGGCCGCAGCCGCAATGCCCTCAAGCTGATCCTTGATCTTGATGAGGACTTTGGCAAGGTCAAGCTTCCCAACGAGAAAGGATGGCGATCGCTACCCAAGATCATGGGCGGTGGTGGCCAGTAAACCGCTGGATTGAAACAAGATGAGATACCAAGAAGAAATGCGAAAGGAAGGAGAAAAAAGGATAAAGTCTAGATTGATTCGAGGTTAACGAGGAAGCAAGGGTCGACTAAAGCGATCGTCTGGTGACTGCTCGGCTATGGCGCCAACGGTCGGGCTTCAATGTCCGAACCGCCCGTTCACAAGTACCGGACAGAGCCGAGGAGTTGCCATTTCCTCGGACTGATATCTCGAACCAAAGACATCGGTGGTAGTCTGTCTCTTTTGGATTGATCTTTTTCATTTAGAGCGGAAGACCAAGATAAAAAGATAAAGGTACAGGGATACAACTGGAAGACGGAATACAAAAAAGAAGTTTGTTGAGAAGGTAAACCTTATATCCGAGGGGGAGCGTCTGCTTCTTTTGCATCAGACTCGGCGTTCTGGGGCATTTAAAGGGCATGATGGGAGCTGTTTTACTGTCGTCCTTTTTTTTTTTTACTTTGTTGGCTGTTTATTTTTTCATTGTTGTTGTTGTTGTGTTACTATAGCTTGTGTGAGTTTCATGTAGAAATGACAGTAAAATTATGTTACGTATATGTGCATATTTAGTAGCATACAGTCTAGTGATATCAGTACATGATTAAAGGGAGGCAGTGTAAATTTGGTTCATGGATGGCGTGAAGATGGCGTGTATTCACTCTAGTATTTGTTAGACTTCAAGAGACAATTCGTAACTTTGAATAGTTTATTCCATTAATATGTACCGTTTATACTGCTAATACTAGTATGTTTATCTGATGCGCATGTTCAGTATGCGCTTGTGATATATCCCTTTTACCCCAGCGCCTGCCAGGTAGTCCAAAACTCCAATCTGATAATAAAGACGATCATCACATTCGTTAGTTCTTTTACACACACATCGCTCCAAATACATGAAACCCAAAAGCTTAAGCGAACTCTCAGCGAATGAAATGAAGATAGACGTGAAAAAGAAAAGAAAAAGAAACTCTGAAAGCAGTTTAATAGTGCACAGTGGCTAAGCGTTGAATCCAGCCCGCTTGTTGTTGAGGTATAAACTCGGGGACCTTGGCGTCGGGCTCACTCGTCATGGCTATCTTGAGCCACTCGACGTAATCTTCGAAGCCAGTCGTGCTGCCGGTAACAGTGACCTTCTTGACACCCCTGACGCCCTCAAACATGCGCAGGTTGCGGTATCCCACACCGAGGAACATGGACTGAACGACGTCGATGGTCAGCTCGTCTAGGCCGCTGTAGGCTTTTGTTACGGCTTCTGCATCGTAGGGGAGATCGACGTCGAGGCGGACTTGGGCGTGGAAGCGGCGGATGCTGGGGATAATGGAGGACTCCTTGACGGGGCCGTACCAGTTTCGAAGACGGGGGAAGGATGTGAGAAGTGTTGGGTGGGAGAGAAATGTGTTGCGCCCGTAGAGAAGATCTGTGGCCTCATCGTGGATCTGATGGTTGGCGCGGAGGAGAGAGGCGTGGACTTTTTGTTCAGGACAGGGACGACCGCATCTTGTGTAGGGGGCTGTGATGAGGAGTTGGTCGTAGATTTCTAGGCGGATCTCGACTGGAAGGTCGAGGAAGCCTGTCTGGTGAGGTTCTTGTTGTTGTTGTTGTTGTTGTTGGACTGCAGCAGCCATATTGATTGATTGATTGTTGGTATCAAAGTGATGGAAGTGGTTGGTTGGTTGGTTGGTGATATAAGTAGATATTGTTTGAGAGTAGGTTGGTAGCTGATGTTGGCGTTGCAGAGATCTTAAATCAAGTTTATGAAGAGCTGCTAGACTGCTGAATGACTAGTAGGTATTGTTGGTTCGAATTGGGTTTATCCAATAAATGTGACAGTGACGATGTTGATCTTGTAGTAGCGTCGATCTTTGAGGCGTTGAGTGGTATGATGACAAGACTGATGCGTGTTTAAAGTTTGGTGTTGGTGGAGAATGAAGATGAAGAAAAAGAAGCCAGAACAACAGGATGAATAGACTTGATATATATAGATATATTCAAACAGTCTGTAGATTACAAGGTGAGCCAAAAGAGATGCCGACCTTGATTTAGATGCGGCCGTGGCCGTAGGTGTCAGTTAACGTTACGAGACACACCCTCCCCCTGGTAACACGACGGGCCCGGCTGGGGCTTAAACTTACGAGCAATCGACCACTAAAGAAACGAAGAACAGGGATACAAACTCAGAGTACATTCCCAACTGCTCATGTTTATGGTACGGGACAAAGTCAATCGCATTTCATTTCGGCTGTTACTTTAGATACACGCCTCATCTAGATAGCTGATGATGTTGACCGAAAGATTGAGTCTTGAATTTCTATTCGACCTTGCAATTTCTCGTTTTTGTTTAGCTGGTGACACCCATCTCAGCCCAAGTGTTTGTCTGTCAGATAAGCTGACTCGCGGTAGTCTTGTCCCTTCTGAGATGAATTGACGAGATGGGCATTTACAGCCAGCCATGAATTGAGCAATGCATCTTCATAGTGAATGCCGGATACCAGGAGGCTCTACAGGGGAATAGAACGGGACAATCAGTATCATTAAGTCAAGTTACAGACTGCCTTTATCAGTGGGCTGAGCATGAGGTGACAAGTACCGTAGCGGTGCCGAGCGATGCCCCGTTGCGGACCAGCCGTTGACTCCACTAATTTGCAAGGTTTAGTATCGGGAGTTTAAGAGGTCCCATTTTTAAACCTCTAGGCCATGAGTCTTGTAAGTGATAATTGTTGACAATTGTAAGAATAATAAGAATAACGTGTTATAATGAGTTACATATAAATCCGTATATGTTATTCTAAACGAGTTATAGAAACGAAAGACTGCCACAATATAGACGGAGGTGCAAGACCGTTCATCATCGTCCTACGTCTGCCCTGCCTCTATTCCCAGTCTCCTTCAACCCCTGCGAGCTCCGTTGTTTGATGTTTTCCTCTCAAAATAAGCCGACTTAAAATGGGTTTCCAGACCATTCGTCATGAAAATCAAACGGGCATGGTTCGGAAATAGTACGGCATGCATCTTTGGACAGGAATGCATCACCAAGCTGCAGCCACATTCGTAGATAATGTAACCAACAAGTACTACTGTAGATATTCAAGGTTCATTTCATACATACTTTCACCCTACAGTGTCCACATCGGCTCCGAACCTACCGATCAACTCTGCCAAAAGAAAACAACCCGCGTGAAACTCTGTATCAATTAAACATCATCTTTGTCCGGCCTCTTCCGACCCTGTTCTATTTATCTACATGCTCCACTATTTCGAGCCTCATCCTGGTGCGCTTTTCCCTTTCCCTGGCGTGATCTTTTTTGGGCCTTCTTTTGCGGCTCTGGACCTTTGACTTTTGTATTCATACACCGCTCGCTACCGATACAAGGGTCTGGCTCCAAGGTGAGCTTCTACTAATACTTAGATGTTCTAGAAAATCAAGATCTCTGTCCAAAGGGGGTGAAGTATCCACTTGCTTCAATATGTCAGGGCGTCTTCGGTCAATTCCCGTTTATGTATTCTTTAATTACTCTGCAAACCTTCTCTTGCCTAGGATTATATCTTGTGCCCCTTGATCATTTTTTCTCAAGTTCTGTCTCTATCCTTCATATTACATTGATTTCTTGCTAGACACAATAACCTTGCTCGGATGTTCTCCGTAAACCCACCGTAATATTCCGGTTTAAGGAGCATTGAACCGTTACTGAACCTGCATCTTCTAGACTATTCCTGATCATATATCATACCGCTTAATGAAGAGTTGTTAATGTAAATATATCATGATCATGATATAATAGATCGGTGCATCATCTCTGATTGGGTCATGCAGCCACATCTTGTACCTGTCAGCCACACTTTTCCCTCGCCAAAAGTACGTACCCAAATGGCGTCAGAACACATGAGACTCTACTCTTGCTCTCACTCACTCACCTTCAATCACACAAGATCAATTTCTCATGAGCAACCAACTCTCGACTCTCCTTTACTTCTGCTCATCTCTTATATTCTCCTGTTACTCTCAACATTGTCACGTAAAAACGACAAGCTGATTCAATACAAGCCAATATGGCAGTCTCATTCCTCAACTTCCTCTCAGGCCTCTTTGGTTGGGTTTACTTCTTCGCTTGGAGCGCGTCTTTCTACCCTCAGCCCTTGCTCAACTGGCGTCGTCGCTCCACAACCGGAACCACTGTCGATTTCCCCTTGATCAACGTCCTCGGTGAGTCTCACCTTCACATACCCAGACCCCCCTATGGCCTAGACCATGCATGATACATGATATGAGTGTCAGCTCAAAACCTACACCCCCAACCAGCCCTGCCCTTATCACCCTGGTGCCCCTGGGCCCGATCACTACCGTCTCTATCAATCCATGTCCTCTGATATTTTTCATCCTTGCTGATCGTGATATTGCTCCCTTCCAGGCTTCGCTGCATACTTTAGCTCAAATGTAGCTTTCTACTACTCACCAGAGATCCGTGCCCAGTATGCCGCCAGACACAAGGGCCTTGAATCTACTGTACAGTTCAACGACATTACATTTGCCCTCCATGCCCTGTTCCTCTCCATCATCACAACCTCACAGTATCTCTCACCTGCTTTGTGGGGGTTTGCTCCGAATTCTGGCAACCGTCCCAGCCGCTTCATTCTTGGAGTAGCAGCAGGCTGTATCACTGGCGTCTTGTGCACCTGTATCATTGTTTCTGCTTCACCTGGGAACGATGCCGTCTATGACTGGGTCGCCCTCGACATCGTCTACGCTGTCGGCTACGTCAAACTTATTGTCACTTTGATCAAGTACACACCCCAGATCGTCGCAAACTACAGGAACCAGAGTACCGAGGGTTGGAGCATCTTTCAGATCTTACTCGATCTCACTGGTGGTGTCCTCAGCGTTAGCCAGCAGGCTATTGACAGCTACCAACAGCGTGACTGGAGCGGCATCACTGGAAACCCCGTCAAGTTTGCGCTTGGCAACATCAGCATGATCTACGACTCTGTTTTCATTGTCCAGCACTACGTTTTGTATCGCGACGCCGAGAGCACGCAATCTGGTGAGCGCGAGAGCCAAAGCTTGCTGCAGGATGAGGAGCGAACCGCAGAGCGAAGCGGATAATCTTACTATCTTAGGCTAGATAAACGCTGAAAACGTCTGCTTATGTGTTGCATCATGCATTTGCTGTGGTATTTTATTGCGATTTAATTCGGAGTTGATTGTTTTCAGCTGTAGGATCTACATTACATTAGATCATGAGCCACATAGGCAACCCGATGTGAACATTTCTAGCATATAATTGGAAGCGGTAGAATTCTGATCTTTGTATACAAATCCCATACCGCAAGATGGCTTCGTCTAAGCGGCTGAACAGACTCGGTGTGTTGGCATGCGACTTGCAGGCCAATAGCGGTTGCATATCGCCCTGTTCACGCTGCTCAATGATTACCATGAAGATCGTTCCAAGTACTCATTTAGATAGTACCGTTCTTGGCATCCTGTATGCAGGGTACGGCCGAAAGCTAGATGTAGATGGTCAGCGGTGGCTGAGCTGAGATGGAACTATTTGCTTATGTTACGTCTCTCTTGCCGAAATTCATTTCTCAAGCCAAAACTTCCGTATATATGGCCAAATACGGTCATGAGTTTAGTGCCTTGTAAGCTGAAGGGTCTATTTGTCTACCAATTACATACCATCTCGATGTTGAGTTGGGTTTCGGCTGGTGCAGGAGAATTGTAAACAAAGGGGATGTTGCGGTATGTCCGATTGGATCATGAAGCAACACGCCAAACCCTGGATTGCCAAATATACGATAATGAACAAAGTATCTTGTTCCACGAATTTTCCTTGATGCAAGCGTTTCCCATACGTCGTCGGTTGAGCCTTTGCTTCTGTGGCATCTGCCCCTGAGAGATCCCGCGAAGACCAAGCCTGAGAACCAGCCACCAGTTAGCTGTCCCAGTCGACAAATTATACAGGAAGGAAAAAAGAGAGAAAATGATGCTGCTATCCAAGATACAAAAAGGAAATGTCTTGGTTGATTAATCAGCAAAAAAAAGTAATTCGACAACGGCAGGATTCGAACCTACGCGTGCGAACACAATGCCTATGATAGTTCATCAGAGAAATAGCAGGGCATCGCCTTAACCACTCGGCCACGTTGTCTTAGGATATCAATAAACAACTCAAGAATTATTTATATAGCTCTTTTTTAAAAGCTGCACGAAAATCATAGTATTTAGTCTTCAACAATGGTGTATCGCCATTGAGTTGTAGCACGGAGTACAAGTGTATTTACTTCGTGGTGTAAGAGAAGTGCCAAAGTGGTTCGATTAACGCCTTTGACAGTCGCATTATCCTACAACCACCTCTCGCAAAGCATCAAGCAGTATATCCCGACGTTCTATATCGTTTCTCTATGCTACAAGTACTCGTACATTCTTCTCTTATAATATGTTCGCGCTATCTATTTTAATACAAAGTTAATCGTCTTTCCTCCCTTCACAGGAATAGCCCTCTTGGCTGCACGCAGATCATACTGTCCCCCAGAGAAGCGCGCTGCGCCCTCCTCAGTCTGAAGAATTTCGTTGACCATCCAGTCACGCAGCTCATCGCCCGCTAGCTCAGCAGGAGGGGGCGGGATATTCACAACACCGCGTACTTTGCCGTTAATCTGCACTGCGCAGGGCTGCACTCGCGGCCGGACGAGCTCGGCCAAGGAGGCATCTGCTGTGGGGAAACTGGTAGACTCGAATATAGAGGGTGAGGAAGGGTGTAGAAGAGCCCAGCATTCCTCTGCAAAGGCGGGAGTGATGGGTGCTATCATGAAAATGAGAGCCTGGGCAGCCTCACGCTTGACAATCGGACTAGCGATAGTGTTATCAGCGAGGGTATTGGTGAGGATCATGACGTCTGATACTACTGTGTTGAGGGAGTAAACTTCGTCATAAGATTCTGAAACAGAGGCAATGATGCGTTGGACATCACGCCAGATAGCTGCTTCGGCGTCCCACTGCGCAAGTTCCTTTGCAGGTGCTGACCCGAGGCTCTCATGCTTGGCAGCGAGGTAGTCTCTAGCAGACATCTTTTTCTTGCAGGGCTCTGCAGCGATGGCTGTAATTTGATCGTGTAGCCGTTGAAGCCAACGTGTGACACCGGTGATCTTTCCCTCGTCCCAGTTGAGAATGTCGCCAACCGGAGCCTGGAAGAGCATGTGCGCGCGGGTCGCGTCAGCGCCGTACTTGGAGATGAATTCTGACGGATCAACCCCGTTGTACTTAGACTTGGACATCTTCTCGTAGGCGATATTGGCCGACTTTCCAGAAGCCATCACCTTGGGTTTGTTGGGGTCCGTCAGGTCAACCTCATCGGGCTTAAGAAAGCGGCCGTTGTCAGGGTCGATATATGTCTTGCCGTGGACCATGCCCTGTGTAATCAGACGCTTAAATGGTTCAGCGGATTTGTAGGTTTCTTCAGTATATTGAGGAAGTAAATCTGTTGAGGCCAAGAACTTGAAGATGAAACGTGCATAGAGCAGATGAAGAATGGCGTGCTCAATACCGCCGATGTAGGTGTCGACGGGAAGAGTCTTGCCGGCTTCGGGAGAGAATGGCTGGTCTTGGTTATGCGGATCAGCAAAGCGAGCATAGTACCAGCTTGAATCGACGAAAGTATCCATGGTATCAGTGTCTCTTCGAGCAGCGCTGTTACACTTGGGACAAGTCGTATTGACAAACTCAGACGAGGACTCCAAGGGACTGCCGCTGCGCGTCTCTGCCCAGTCCACATCGGGAAGTTTTACGGGAAGCTGTTCGTCTGGTACAGGCACCGGACCGCATGTATTACAGTGGATAATGGGAATCGGGGTGCCCCAATATCGTTGCCGGCTGATCAGCCAGTCTCTTAGACGCCACTTCTCAACTGGCTCAGCAAGTTCAGCTTTCTCAAGTAACTTCACAATCTCCTCTCCGGCGGCAGCTGAATGTTTGCCCTTGAAGGAACCACTATGTTCTGTCATGATGCCATGTTCGACAAAAGGCTCGTTTTCCATAGCTGTCGTTGACTCATCCTCAGATGCGGATAGGACTTGTCGGACAGGCGCGTCATAGTGGTGCTCCTTCCAGAATGCATTATCTCTCAAGTCGTGGCCAGGAACACCCATAACAGCACCTTCGCCATAGTCGCCCAGAACGTACGGTGCAATGTAGACGGGCAGTGAGACTTTGGTGGCATCGGGCGTTTCTTCGTGGTAGGCAAGCGGGTTGATAGCCCGGAGGTGTGGCAGCAAATAACCCACCTTTGAGTCTGCAGGTAGACCAGGGATGGTATCAATGAACGCTTGCAACTCGGGGTCTGAAGCCGCAAGCTTGGCTACAATGGGATGGCTGACCGCAAGAGCCACATACTGAACGCCGAAGAGGGTGTCAGGTCGAGTGGTGAATACTTCGATCGCAGCTCGAATGTCATGACCCATGGCCAAGACAGGGAATTTGATGGAAGCGCCAGTTGACTTTCCCAGCCAATTCTTTTGCTGCGCCAGAACTCGCTCTGGCCATGCATTTTCCTTTGCAAGCGCCTCGAGCTCCTCAAGGAGGGCTTCGCGGAACTCAGAAATGCGGAAGAACCATTGTTTAAGGTTACGTTTCTCAACCTTGACGCCTGATCTCCAAGAGCAGCCGTTTGAATCGACTTGCTCGTTTGCAAGGACAGTCTTGTCAACCGGATCCCAATTGACCTCGGCCTCGGCCTGATATGCGAGGCCTCGTTCGTGGAGCATGAGGAAGAGCTTCTGAGTGTGTTTGTAGAAACCGGGGTCACAGGTGGATAGCTCCTGAGGTACGTATTAGATTTGAGAGATCATCCCAGGGTTTCACATACACGATTCCAATCCCAACTTCCATTCATAAGCTCAAGCTGCTCCTTCATTTTGGCCATGTTGCTTGTCGTCCATGTTTCTGGCGCAACGTTTCGTTCGATCGCGGCGTTTTCGGCTGGTAAACCAAATGCATCCCATCCCATGGGTAACATGACCTTGTCGCCTTTCAATGATCGGTATCGAGCAACCACATCGGCAATAGAGTACACTCGCAGGTGGCCAAGATGTAGAGTCCCTGATGGATACGGGAACATGGGTAGCACATAGTGATTGTCTTTGCTATCAGCAAGCTTATCGGACGCTTTCGCAGTTCCATTAGACTCCTTCCATTTCTTGCGCCATTTTTCGTCGATTGAAGTGAGGTCAATAGCGTAGTGTCGTCGAGAGAGAATCGCCGTTGTTGTGATGGCGATGATCGGACGTCGAATTGAATTGTGGAGTGATGGATTGGACAAGGCGCGCCGAGCTGCAGCGCAGCCTATGAGCCTTGATTGCAGTAATGGCATTGGTATCTGGGCATTATATGATGCAAATTTGCATCAATTGGTGTCGGGGCAATTTTGTGCCTAGTGTAACTGTACACAGAGGTCCAAAAATTGTAGATATGTTCTGGCTAGGTATGGATGCGATTCGAGATACCTACCCTGTGGTGGGAATTAAAGCTCGGACCATACAGTCGGTACTTGGTCCACCACAATTTATGATAGCCGACCTCAGGTACCGTCGAATGCGTCATGACTGCTAACATCCACTGAAATTAATGGCCCAGACCGAGAACGGCTACTGAAGGGCTGTGAACAAATGATAAACCCCGCTATCATGAACGCCCCGCCACAAAACTCGTCCACTCTAGCCCAGTCTAATTGCCCCCTCCAAGATCGAAGAAAAAGAGACGCCGACGTCGTCCTCGACTTGACTTGACTTGTCTTGTCTCACTCCGAGTTATCTCCTTGAGTCGAGATACTTTCCACCCGCAGACCGAGCTCGATAGTTCTTAATCGATAAAGACAAAGGATCCGTCCTAAACCATCCAGCAGTATCCGATTTCGCAAGCACAACCTCCCTCTCCAACTCAGTCTGTCAGCGAGTTGGTGATAACTCTCCTGGGAATATTCGATCTTACGCCTTGGATTCAACCCACATACTACGAATAAATACTCTCAACACTGTCGACCAGAACCTTTCCGTCCATCACAATGGACAAGATCACCGATCGCATCGCCGCTCTGCCGGCTGATGGCACCTACTTTTCTCTCGAGTTCTTCCCCCCCAAGACAGCCATGGGATTCTCCAACCTACGAGACCGTCTTCACCGAATGGAAAGAGCACTTCGCCCTCTTTTTGTGAATGTCACCTGGGGAGCCGGTGGCAGCACCTCTCAGAAATCGCTTGAACTGGCTGAATTGTGCCAGAGAGAAGTCGGACTTACAACTTGTCTGCACTTGACATGCACAAACATGAGCAAGAAATTGATCGACGAGGCCCTCTCCGATGCAAAGGCATTAGGCATCAGAAATATCTTGGCTCTGCGAGGCGACCCTCCACGAAGAGAAGAGTACCGCGACGCTGAAGATTCAGAGGACGATGGAGGCCAGGACTTCAACTGGGCTGTCGATTTGGTTAGATACATCCGCAAAACTCATGGCGACTATTTCTGTATTGGCGTTGCAGCATACCCTGAGGGTCATGCCGAGGAAAGTCATCCTTTGGGACAGAGTGTGGAGCACGATCTCCCCTATCTTGTCCAGAAAGTCCAAGCCGGTGCCGACTTCATCCAGACCCAACTCTTCTTCGATATTGAAGCATATGAACACTTCGAAACCACTTTAAGGGAGCACCCCAGTGGTGCTTTCAAGGGAATCCCCATCATTCCTGGACTAATGCCGATCCAAAGCTACCAGATGATTAAGCGAACCACCAAGCTAAGCCATGCCAAAATCCCTGACCATCTTCTTGAACGTCTAGATGCTGTCAAGGGTGATGATGAAAGGGTAAAGATGGTTGGCGTGGACATTGTCAACGAGTTGATAGACAAGATTAAGGACATCAAGTCAAAGACACCAGGCCCAAAGGGCTTCCACTTTTACACGCTCAACTTGGAGAAGGCAGTGTCCTTCATCCTGGAGCGAGCAAACCTCATCCCTGACCCCCCTGAGAATGAGGAAGCTGTTGTTGCAGTTGACGAACTCGCCATTCCCGCGCTACAGATCAACGGCAACATGCGCTCAAGCAGCCACTCTCGCTCTCGACAGTCCAGAAGGCACTCTTCTGTTGCCTCAGACCCTCACAATTATGTCATTGTCGGTGATAGGCCAGCAGTATATCCTGAGTGGGAAGCGACAGGCTTAGAGGCCGGCGGGCGTGCCGAGGCCGTCAACACACGCGCCAACACGTTGGCCATATCGGAAGGTGAGGGTGCTTTGGGCCGTGAGGCGACATGGGACGACTTCCCCAACGGTCGTTTCGGTGATGCTCGCTCACCCGCATATGGTGAGATTGACGGATACGGCGTAAGCCTCCACATGTCCGTGACGCAGGCCGTCAAGCTTTGGGATCACCCCAAGACGCGGCAGGACATCAACGACCTGTTCGTCAAGCACATACAAGGAGAGCTCTCTGCTATCCCCTGGAGCGAGGAGGAGCTTAGGGCGGAGAGTTCAACCATTAAACCTCACCTCCTGCAGCTGAACGGTAAGGGCTGGTGGACCGTTGCGTCGCAGCCTGCTGTCAACGGCTTGCGCTCCAGTGACGCCACCTTTGGTTGGGGTCCACCCAACGGCTTCGTCTTTCAGAAGTCGTTTGTCGAATTCTTCATCCCGTCGAACGAGTGGGAAATTCTCAAGGCTAAGCTCGTATCATCAGAGCTGCAAGACTATGTGTGCTTCTACGCCAGCAACGCCCGTGGTGACTACGTCTCGTCGGACATCGGCGGTCACGTGGACGGCTCGACGGAGACCAGCCCGAGTACAAACGCAGTAACATGGGGTGTCTTCCCGGGCAAAGAGATTATCACGCCAACAATTATCGAAGAGGTCAGTTTCCGAGCTTGGTGCGAGGAGGCGTTCGGAATCTGGGGTGAGTGGGCAAAGGTATATGGCCGAGGTTCTGAGAGTGAAAAGCTCCTGAACAGCATTAAGGATGACTACTGGCTTGTTAATCTGATTCACCACGATTATGTGAATAGGGATGCTCTATGGGATGTTCTGTCAAGTTAAGCAAGGTGTTTATAGTGTTTGGAGATACGTAAATATACCAACTAAAATTGAATTTACCCAACATTTAAAATATCAAGTTTAATCTATAAGAAATAAGAGATATGGAAACCTAGAAAAAGCAATATATATTATAATATCAAATATCAGGAAGAATACTAACTACGGGGAGAAATACTAGGCATAGGAAAATTATTAAATACAGGAAAGAATACTAGATACTGGGAAATACTGTATATATAGAAGAATACTAGTACAGGGAAGCACACTAGATGTATAGTACTAAATAAAACACTGGGGAATTGAGAGTTGAGAAAATGTTAGCTAAACTTGGGTTTTACAAGATATAAATATTGGCACCATATTTGTTACGGATTATGTGTATTCACTAGCTAGTTTACATTGAGGTTATGTAGTCCCCTGTTCGCTTTTCATTCTCCTTTCTTCACTTTCCGTCGGAAGATACTAGATAAAGCCAGAGTTGCCAAATAGAAAAGAAACCATACAGATAACCGGGGCTGAAAAATTGGGTATGTGTGCTGGGGTAAAGGGGGAATATTAGGCATTAGGTTCGTTAAATGCCGGAAGCTGGTTTAGCTGTTATTGCTACCAAAATAAAGTCATTGCGCATAAAACCTGCTGTATGCGCCGTATAATATACTCTGCGGAGCCTTCTTCAAGGACAAAATACCGTACTTTATTGGCTTTGCCATAAAATACTAGTAAATGTCATCTCGAGAAACATTTGAGATTTCAGGTCTTAGATCTCTCCATTACCCCAGTCGAAGTAGTGTTCATCGTCAATAGGGGGCGCGAGAACGTCGTCGTCGTCGTTCGCGAAAGCGCCAGAGAACTCTGATCGACCAGACGCCATGATGCCAAGATCGCGAGGAGCAGTCGCGGCAGTCGTAGCCGTCATAGAAAGCTGATGCTTGCGTTCGGCATCGCCAAAGATCGAGGCAGAGGAGACGCTGGTAGAAGGAGGGAATGTCGGGACGCTGGCGACAGGGTAGTTGACGTGACCGGCATGGCCAGTATAAGAAAACTGGCTGACAGTGGCAGGTGTAGGAGTGGGCGCGTCTTCATTAGGGGACTCACTGTCTGGATACTGGGCGGAAGATTCGGCGATAGTAGCAGCGGCTTTCCGGCCAGCTGTGCGAGGAGTGACCCCACGGCCAGTGGTCTTGGTTCTCTTGGACGGAGTGTAGTCAAGCTCGTCAAAGTTCATGTCATCCTCGTCTTCATCATCCGAAGCGGAGCGCTTGATAGGGTGAACTGGAAGTGAACTCTTGCGCTTGGATCCCTTTCCTGAGCGGCTTGCCTGGCCGCGGGTGGGAGTAGGCTTGGAAGGGGTGTTGGGACCAGCGCCAGTACCGAGGTTCAAGCAGCCGGCAACATCACCGCCGTTGTTAGCAGTTTGACGGAGAGCCTCGGCGTCCTTCTTGATAGTGCGGAACTGAAACTGAATTCCGTCGGTAGTGGATTGTCCAAAGTATTTGGCGATGTCTATAAAGTGATGATGTTAGCAGATGTTGGCGCAAAGAGGGAACGACAAGGTCAGAGAGCCTACTGTTCTTGTCGATAGCTTGCTGGGTAGAAGGGAGCAGGTTCTCGTCGGTGGTCAAGTCCTTCATATCGAAGCCCTGGGCACGCGCAATGCTGATAATATTGGTTGAGGCCCGAACCTTTCGGAAACGATGGTTTAGGGCATGATCAGTCATATCGGAGCCATAACAGGCGGCGATTTCTGAGGGCGGAGTGTCAACCCCAGGCACAGTTATAGGCAAAGAAGGATCACGGAGAATAAGATGGATGAATATAGAGAAATATAGTCTTACCCTTGTAGTTCCACTTGATTTCAGGGTGCGCAGCCACGATAGCGCGAACCATACGGGCCTGAGCCTCGTAGGTCTTGTAGTTAGCCTTCGCGTTTGATGCTGGGGCCATCTTTGGTGTAGGTTTGGTCTAAGATTTTGTTAGTTGGAATATTGTAGAGATTGACGAAGACCATATGATGATGCTTAAGGGTGTGGGAGGGGATCGCAGGGGTGAATAAAGGGTAGGAGTTGAGACTGACCTTGAAAATAATGAAAACGTAGCAGAATGCTTGTTGAATGACTTTGCGTTGGTATGTGAACGATGTTACCTCGCGACGATAGAAGCGGAAAGAATGAATATTGCGATACCGAGATGAAAGCGCAAAGTAGAATCAGGCCTTAACTTGAGGAAAAGATGAAAGAAAGTTGAGGAAAGATTAAGTTAAGGAGCACATGTGTTGTAGTAAAGTGAAGTGAAGTAAAGATATACTACTGCCTAAATAGGGAAAGGCGATGAAAGATGAAGAAGATATGCGCGGTGGTTTGCGCGAGGAGTGCTGTGATGTGCGAGATGTGAAGATGAAGAAGATGGAATGAATGCGAGAGAGAGTGGAGGGTGATATATGTAGACGAGTTTGTCAATGATTCACTGACGCGAAGCAGAAAAACCAACGACGCTAAAAAATAAAGAGTTGAGAGATGGATAGAAACTTCAACTATCATCCAAATGAGTTCCTCTACTATAATCGCATAGGAGAAGTAGTAGACATACCTATTTCTGGTGCAATTTGAGGTTTGTTGCTGGGCCGACTGTATGCAAACGCCAAGAAGGACAAAGACGACTAAATAAAGTCTGGAAAAATATAGTCATAGGAATAATAAGGCAGAAAAATGAGGAAAACTTTATTAAGCAGTCAACAATCAATAAAACCCGAGGGATAATGTGCTTCGATAATATCAGTTTCGATGTTTGTTGACTTGCGGGTTCTGTTTGTCTGTAGTTAGGTAGGTACTGTATGTAACCTTGTGGTGGGCCAGTCGAGTTCGTAGTCAGTACAGCAAAAGTGTTACACGAGACGGGCTCGACAAGTTTATAGTAACACAGTTACTTAAAGAAGATAATAACTAGATTCAAAGCTGAAAGAAATATCATATGTTAAAAGTAAACATTGATCATCTATCTCCTGAATGAGTTGGTGTTGTAAAGTTACAAAAAAGACAGGGGCAAGACTGTCTTGAGGGTGTGGTGAAGCTTAGATAGTGCAAGACTTGATGCTGAGTGACTAATATTTCAATGATCTAATATAACAGGGCAAACTAAAAGACTACAAAGCGAGCAAAGTCAAGTAATGATGTTATGGTAGTATTAGTCTATGTTCTATATCATTTCATAGATGGCAATCCTCTAGACGCGCATCTGGTTGCTCAATATACTGTCCAAATATGTGCCCCACTAACAGATCCTAACGACAATAGAATGGTGCTGTAATGTGGCTGATGCTGGTGGTGAGACTTTGGTGTGCCTGTTTCAGAAATGAGCCAAGGCCAAAAGGGACCAGGATCTGGACCTGAAGCCAAGACCCGGCAATCGTTCAAAGATTGCGTAATTGGTGGGGGATTTTGACTCAAGTGCAGAGACAAAGAAGACATGTAGATAGAAGTCCTGTCGCATCTCGATAAGTCTTTGCCTCTGTCATCGCTTGGACTCCAATCCTGGTACACTCAAACCCGTTCTCATATCATCGCCCTCTCATCGTCTGTGTCGTCTCTCATTCCATCCCTTCCAAGGATCGCCCCATTCTTCCTGTTTCCGTACATAATATCCCGGCGATTTGTCACCGCAGCAGCTCGTTATCAAACCGACGCATCAGATTCAACATCGCCTTCATTAGATCATTCAACATTCAATAGCAGATAGCCTATTTGGCTTCCGCCGCGACAACAAATGGGGCAGGCCGTCGTGTAGGTGTGAGACTTCGGCTGTGGCTTCGTGTCGTTGCCTTGGGTGTCTCCCACTCAACCATGGGGTGCTCCTTGATTTGTGCCTCCTCCGCGGTGTTGGTATTGTATATCAGGTACTGGAAACCAAGGAAGAAGTCGCATGACGCCTGGAACATACCCGAGATCTTGAAAGACCAAGGGATCTCGGATTTTGATGTGAAGAACCAGAACAGCTTCATGGTGTCTCCGCCAATCCAAGCAGCAAGAACTGATAATCGTAGACCCTTGGATGATTTGGTTCGCGCATTGATCAAGATCTGAGGAATGGGCAGTGTAGCCTCCACGCCGAGTCCAATGCATCCAATGGCGTTGGCGTACACAGCATAGAGCCCAGGCATCTGGGAAAGGAGAAGTTCAAGAACAACGAGAGCAGCGGCAAAATACATGATAGCTTGCCAGTACCTGTATTTGATTAGCCCAATGATACTCATGCAATATTGGTGACGCAATACCTACCGCCGGGGAGATCGCCATTGCCAAAAGTTATAGGGGCGCTGGAAGCCCATGAGGCTGTCGTCGGTGCCAGCAAAAGGCAGACCAGCATCACCGCCTTTAGTGGGTGGGGGAGGTCGGAAGTCGAGAGCGACCTTGAGGAGAGCCACTTGCACGACAACCATCAACAGGGACTGAAGGAGTAAGCTCGTATCGTATTGAGCTTGTGGCCAGTAAAAGATTCTGCATTCGGGAAACACGGATCAGTCGCAGTCCACGCCAATCGCATTGGGCTAGGTAAAACAAACCTGAGGAAAGACGCGACCAGCATAATAAGAGGAATATCGAGAGAAAAGCCTGCGCTGGTCTTGTTTCGGTACATGGAGACAATTTGGTCGGCGTAGGAGAGAATAGGCGACATGACGATAAAGAAGGGGGCCACCCAGGCCGTGAGCTCCATGACCCATCCTATGAGACCGTCTGCCATTCTGCCGTTTGTTTATCCAAGTCCAGGAGATCGAGTCGGACGCAATGAAGCAGCAGTTGTTGAAGGAGATTCGACGCGCTGAGGTTCGAGGCGAAGCCGATAAGATTTACGTGGACGATGGTAGGTTCATTCGAAAAATTATATGCAAGTAAAAATTGACACTATGTAGCCAACTGATTGATGTATGTTGTGGTACAATGCAATGCAAATTATGCGAATGTTAAGATTGATTATAGAAGAATAAAAGAGAGGATGGAGGAATGAAAAGTCCCGAGTCAAGTCAAGAGGCGCTGGTTGAGTCGGAGTGGGTGCAGCAAGGGTAAAGGGGAAAGACCCGACAGTCTACTAAGCCAGTCTCGTAATTTTGATAGTGGTCGTTCTAGAAGGCATGGCTTTTGCTCTCGCCCAATCAGGGTCTAGGCTGTGGTGAGCATCGGTTATCCCCGCTGGAGGTTTAGTGTGCAGAAGCTTAGCTAGAGGCTCTGCCCAACCCTGGCAAGGAGTAAAAGCCCCCAAATTTCGCCCTGTCACCAGTGCAGAACGGCCCGGGGGATGAAAGCGGCCGGCAGTTCTACGATTGGACCAATAAGAGACTACACAGGCTGCATGGGTGTTGGTTTCTACGGATCCAGTGAGCTGGGATAAGTTCCCATTCCAGGATATATGCTCAGACTGGATTGGCTCGACTTGAGTGAGACACACGCGTTCGTCCTCCTTCTTTCTGATGCATGTCTACAAATATCTGTATCATAGACTAGGTACTTATATTGTCTTAATCCGTAGCAACTCTTTATGCCTCTAGATATCCTCGGCGGGTTCCTCTAAAACTTAGACTAATATATCATCGGAATAACGGCTGCTCCCATCGCTGGCTGGTGGAAATTAAGGCAGAGCAATATACGATCAACGTTCTCGTATGGAACACGCTTGCTTTTGGCCTGTGCTTTGTATGTATCCTTGCCGGACTGGGGAAGATGGCTGTCGTCAACAAAAGCCACACGTGACAACCTGCCGCTTGCAGACATTCAGCACTTGATTTCAACTCTTGATTCGTTATATGGAAACAAACTTGGAGCATAAGATTTGATGGCAAAAAGCATCAGTATTGCTTATAAGTAAACCGAATTGCATGCAGTGATACCCCGTACTCAATGATATAAAGGAACTATGTGATATCGCTAATCGTGCTTGCCGAGCGTCTCACTATAGGACTCGGTTGCAATTTCATCAGGGAGGTAATTCGAAGTTCATATATAGGTAGGTAGGTACTTAACATGTGATTTATAAACTTCGCTTATCATTGCCTTGGGGTTTACACAACTAGACCCATTCTCGCAATAACATTTTCTTTGCCACTACCAACACTCCTTAGCAGTTCCCTTATAAAAAAGTAGTTGGAGAGTATCTGCTAAAGCACTGTAGCTTTGTTATTGTCAAAAAAAAATTAATTTATATCTACCATTGTATACGTATTTCTAAAGCCGTTATTGATGAGTATAAACTATTGCTCGTCTCCCTATCTCCCCATGCGTTCGTCCACGGGACAGCATGTTACAGAATCAATCCCATATCATCTTTGAAAACAAAGCGGCTGGGAACAGTAGAACCAATACGGGTTTGAACGAAATCTTGCATTGAAGCTTCGATTGCGCCTCAAGCGAGATATCGCATCGCAAGCACATATTTGACGCCGTTGAGCAAGAATGTATGTGACGTTTGAATGTCAGTGTGATCTATACCGAAGTCTTTACCATATATATATATATATATTTTTTTTTTTTAAAAAAAGATCAAAGTTCTGATCGCAATACATGGAGATACATACTCCTATTAATTCAAAGCCCTCGCTCTTTTCTGCATCACGTCACGTTGCTTGTCTATCTAGGAACCAGTCAGGCATTCATTGCATTGCTTTACTATTGTTTTCAAACAGTATATGCTGCATGCTATTGTTCATTGGCCACTTAAACAATATTTTTATTTGCTTAGCGAGGTGGGCTATTGGTTATGCTATTGTTCAAATTCATTGCCAGTTTTTGGCACTGGCAAAAGGCCGTTTGACTGTTTATCAATTCCCATCACTGCCAGCTCCATGCTATATCCCCCCCTCTTCACCTCCGCAACTCAGCATCCCCCTCCAAACAAACTTCTTCTCTCCTTCATATCCTGCTCTCCATCGCCTTTGAGCAACAACAAAAACTGCAAACACGATGGAGTTCCCTTTCGGCTATGAGAGACGGGAACGCCCTTCTCGAGCTGCAGCTCCCACAAAGAACATGAAAGACCCTGATTCTGAGGATGATGACCAGCCTATCAGGCCCCAAAAATCGTCTTCAGCAGGAGTCATCCGTACCGATAATGACAACCCCAGTGTCGGCTTTAGCCCTGATTCGATCACAGTCATCTCGGCACAGAGCAGTGCTCCGTCCATAACAACACTCAACCGACCATCTTCCCCTAAGAAAAGAAGTAACCCCGAAGCTGACAGCGACTCTCCGACCAAGAAGTCACGCAAGATAGTGATCAAGGCTAAGAAGTCCAACCAAGCCGTGATTCCAGGGCTTTCGCAAGCCGGCACCACACCGCAGCCAGCCTCCGGCAGCATCCCTGAGATTGAGGCTATGCGCAAATGCCTCATGTCTTTGGAGAGTCGCATAAATCAGGATGCAGCGGACCGCGACGAGGCTCAGAAAAAGATTACTCTGATCGAGCAGAAGTTGCAGGATGCCCAAGCGGCCAAGACGGATGAGAAGGACCTCACCCATCCTGCAGATGACCAAGACCTACGCAAAGAAAACAAGGATCTGCTCAAGGGAAACCAGAAGCTCAAGATACTCATGGCAGAGCAGAACCATTTTATCGCCACCCTGAAACAGGACCGCATCACCCCGTCCGGCTTTAAGCTGATGGACTGTGACGTAGAGCAAGGATGGAAGGGAATCGCGTTCGAGATTAGCAACTTTGTTTTTCAGGTCCTCACCAAGAAGCCGTACGGAGACCAGGCACCTCCAGGAGCGAACCTGAAAGACGTCGAAGCACTCAAGAAGCAGCAGAAGAAGAACATTCACGCGGCACCTTTCCAATTCCAGCGTTACATTTGGTTGCATCTCGTCACGGACATCTTCCAGGCTGGGAAGGCTACCTGGGGAGGTCCCACAGGCAATGCGTTCCATCGCTATTGTTTGGACATATCTGGTACGATTTGATCATCCCTTCCCCTTTCCCCATCTAACACGGACAATTTTCCAGAAATTGACTTTGACGGCATGACGCAGCTGAGTACATTCAAGTCCAGTCAAGCCGAGCTACTGTCCAAGTCATTCGATGACCATAACCGCGAAGAGGCCAAGAACATTGCACGGGAGATGGCACTGACTCTTGAAATTTTCATGGATCCCGATGAAATGAGAGAAAGAGCAAGCCCGAAGAAGCGTCTTTGGCATATAGTTCGCAAAGCAGTAGAACTGAACGACAAGTTTCTGCGATCCAGGGCATTTTACCTCACCAACTAGCTAGTACACGACGATTGGGAATGGGATGACCTCGATATCCGTTACTACACGGGAGAGGCAGGCGGAGTCAAGAACGTGGGTGTTGAAATTTCGCCCCGACTTAGGAAGATTGGAAACGCCGATGGCCATCATTTTGACGAAGCACTGGAGATGTGCCAGCCCATGGTGACGGTACATCTCTCATGAGGAACATCAAGGCAGACTGTAGCGAAGTACTAAGTCATGCGAATTGGGAGCAAGGTGTCGCTGGTCGTTCCTGGTACGGTTGTCAGGAAGACGAATTTGGGCCAAGGCCAGGATGCATGGCCAGCCTTGTATGGAGCGAAGCCCCAGGTGCTTTGAGAGAGCATGCATGTAGCTAAGGGCTGCCTGTGGATGGTTGCCTATTGTTGATGTTCCTGATTCAACCCAGATCGATATCGAGTACTCTCGGATGGGTAACCAGGGCTGGGTTATTGTGAGAGAGAACAGATAATTGTAGAATTGAAATTGACATTTTATAGTGTTGAAACCACTATGAATGTGATTCATCATGATATCGTGTCCATGTCAATCGATAAGACGTTGATCAAGAGCTTGTAAAGTGGGCCAACATCATGGATGCCTCAGGCTTGAGCCATCTTTGGACACCGCCCTATCCAAGGGAAGGGGTCCAGAACACCCTGTCTTGGCAGCATCGCATCAACTCGATCTCCAACTAAGCATTAAGGATCAAGTTTCTTTTTCCTTGTTCATTTCTGCCAACCTAGATGATACCACGTTGATAACATACAACCAAACATAAAAAAGGTACATCCCCCTCATCCATGATAGCTCTATATTCAACTAACTTCAACCCCTCCCTCTCTAGACCTCATCATGCCTGCTGTTCCTCAAGATGCGCCCGAGTCCGCTGGACAAATCCCCGCGCCCGAAAAGTCAACTCCTACCTTCAAACCCGAAGATGTGACCGTCATCTTTGTTCTCGGCGGCCCTGGTGCCGGTAAGGGTACCCAGTGCTCCAAGCTCGTCTCTGAGCACGGCTTCACCCACCTTTCTGCCGGCGACTTGCTGCGCGCTGAGCAGGAGAGGCCCGGTTCCCAGTATGGCGACCTCATCAAGGACTATATCCGCAACGGCCTCATCGTTCCCATGGAGGTGACTATTGCTCTCCTCGAGAACGCCATGTCCGCTGTCCTCAAGGAGACAGGATCGCAGAAGGGCCGCTTCCTCATTGACGGTTTCCCTCGTAAGATGGACCAGGCTGTCAAGTTCGAGGAGACCGTCTGCCCCGCCAAGCTTGTCCTCTTCTTCGACTGCCCCGAAGATGTTATGGAGTCCCGTCTCCTCGAGCGCGGCAAGACCAGCGGCCGCGATGACGACAACGCCGAGAGTATTCGCAAGCGATTCCGCGTCTTTATCGAGACCAGCATGCCTGTTGTCAACCACTTTCAGGAGGTTGGCAAGGTTCTGAAGCTTGATGCTACTCCTACCCCTGATGAAGTCTATGCCAACACCGAAAAGGCCCTCGCCGAGCGGTTGGGATCCAGCTTCTAAGGCATGCATGAATCGAACATACATTGTACTTCGGGGGAGCTGTCCTGGAGTCGGACCCCGTGTTTAGACTAAGACCCTAATAATATCCAAGCTTATAAAAGACTTAGATCTCGCGTCTAGAACAGTAATAGAAAACCCATGATTATACTGTATCTACAATGTATTCCTCTGGAAATACTGCCTTTTCCAGCTACCACTGATACAAGCTTTCTTCAATTCTCATGAGACCCCTATCCTAACCTACCTACCTGATCCCATTTCAACTTACTTGCTCAAAAGGGTATACATAACCATCATTACTAAAGCCCAACGCCCATGTTGTTGTCGTTTCCTGATCATCGCCAATTCCTGTTCCTTACAAACTTGCACAATCAGTTGTCGTCGTACATTTTCATCAAACCAGCTTTGATGTCCGTCATCTGTTTTCTGTGCATCTTTTCGCGATTCTCCAATGCTGTGATTCGCTCCTGTAAGGTCGCAATCTTCTCATCTTTGGCCTTGAGACTTGCCCGGGCGGTATCACGTCCCAGCATGATACCCTTGGTTTGGCGTGCGGCAGTGGTCAGGATATTTTGCACAGATGACAGGATCTTTGGGTCAACTTTTTGACCTCGCAAAAGGCTCATGACCCCATCCATTACGTCGTAGTCTTTCTCAAGAGGGCTACTTGGAGGAAGCCCTTGCTGTCTGGATGGTGTCTTCGAGGGTGTTGTGTTGGCCGAAACGGTAGCGGATGACATGGTATCAGTGTACCGCGAAGGGGTTTCTTCGAAGGAGACTTGCTTTTGTCTCTTCGACTCGCTGGTAGGAAATAGGGTGCGCGAAACAGAAGGTGTTGGCAACCCCGAAATGACATCGGTAGAGCGCGAAGTGCTAGGCGTAGTGTATCGTTTCTGGACAGCCTTCTCAGCACTTTTGTCCGCAATAGCAGCCATCTGACGCTCCTCATCCGATCCTAAATCACTAAACTCTACGTCATCCTCTTCAAAAATGTCCCGGCGTCTCTTGACCGGTCCACGAGACGGCGTTTCAACAGCTGCTGATGGCAAAGTAGACGATTTTGAAGAACCCGAAGCTTGTATTCGGTTCATGGTAGACTTTGGCATAGGGGTATTGGGCTCGGAGTCTTCACCAGACTCTGTGCTATCAGCAGAATCTTCGTTACTCTGGTGTCGCCTAGGAGTAACTCGATAGCCATATGTCACAAGAGATTGCTGGGTCATGGGAGGAGGTCCGGATCTGGCAGAGTCATCACTTTTTCGGGGGGTCCTCAGACCGTTCTCGCGAGTTTTAGCCTCATCTCTCCAGAGAAAGAAGTTGCAGTCATCGCATTTCCAAAAAAGCTTGCCATTGTTGGGTCCTATCTTCTTGACTTCACGTAGTGTAGCCTTTTGACGAGGCTCACAATTGCCTATGAGGTTGTTATTATCAGAATAAAAGACCCTAAAGAATCCAACACTTACACCACCAATGACCATCGCTGTAACGGCCCTTCGGAAGACGCTTCTTCTGTGATCTCGGCGTCTGGGGGTCTCGCTGACGTTTGAACCGTGGAGTTGAAGGCATGCTGAGCTGTCGTTGGCCCAGCAACCAACTATACAAACAGATTCAAGACAGAAGTCTACAACAAGACCAGGTAGAGGAATGTTTTGGCAGTATCAACAAATGGTTTCAAGAGGAAGAATGTTGGCGTCAGAGCGGGAACCACTGTTGAGGATTGTACCTGAGCCTATGCGGGGTGGGATCAAGCTGAGGTTAGGTGTGGAAAGTTAAGCAACGCAAATGAGAGGGGCTGGTTGGGCGGCTATCAAGCCACAAAACTATATGCCAACCGTGAAACAACGACGTTTATGCCCGTTGTTTCAGCAGCCACATGTTCTTCGTGCGTATAGATAGATGGTTTCGTTCTTAAGACCGTACCTATAGTCGGTCTATACAGATACCTAGGGATTATACTAATGTACTGATGTAAGTAGGTACCTAGGCGTGTACTCAACCCATGTTCTTTTTATGACTTAAACAACCCGACAACAACTGACTTGCTCTTCCCGACTATGTTCTAACAGCATGTTCATATTATCATCTTATAGGTCTAACTATATCAAGCCTGGGATGAATTTTGTGATCTGATATTAATATGTTAATTCACTACCTTAGTTTGGATAAGAGTTTGAATGCGTTTGGTGTCACGTGATCATACACTCATTCTCGCCTGATTTTGCTATGATGCTCTCTTCTCATGTCTCTCATCGCCATCACTATCTCAAACAAACGTCCAGCGGCCGACCATTTTTTTTCCAGACACCAATTTCGGGTGAAATCAGTCTACTTATCTAGATACTTTAGTTGATACAAAACAACTCAATTACCGATGGCTTCACGCATGTCTTTATTCACCGGGCGCCTCGCCGTCTCGACTGCTCGACTCACTCCTCGCACATCGTCTTTGGCCGTTCAATGCAACCGGCCTTACTCTTCTCAGCCCCCAAAGCCTCGTCGCAATGATGAGGTCAAGTTCTGGCCATTCTTGGTTGTAGCTCTCGTGGGAACTGGGGGCTACGTTGCCCTTGTCAATCGTCGTAGTGGTGCGTTTATTATTGATATTTATTCCTAATCTAATGCCTCCCATAATGGTACGATGTATCAATATCCGTATTTCAGTTTGTGACTGAGACGGGTTGCGAATTCGCACTTGACTGCATTTTGGAATTGATTATCAGCTCAAACCCTGACTTCATATATAGGACGGATACACAACCCAGACCCTCACAAAAAGTTTACATCATCCTTTTAATTAATTTCGCCCCGGGTCTATTGTAGCTATCAGGGCGGCATACAATATGTATTATACCAAATACCAAATCTCACAGCAACAATTCTATGAACCAGCCCCACGGAGCTCCCGTTGTGTTTAACAAGCATTCATTTTTGATTCTATATCTTGGAAGACAAGTGCCGTGACACCATCTTCTCTTCAATGCTGGGAAGTAGAAAGCCAATATGCTCATGAAACCGGCTACGCCATTCGCAACCCCTCGTTCGCTGGATTTCCTCATGTGCCCAACGATGTATTAACACAAAGCAGGTATAACAATGTCCCCCATTCCCAGAAAAAGCCCCCTCATTTTGCTTCCCCACGACTGCTCTAGTCTCGTTTTTGATCGTATCCTAGCACTTCCGTTCTGCGTTTAATCGTCATCTTCCGTTCGCTCCTTAGGCTCTCGAGGCTCGCGGGGTTCGCGAGGTTCGCGAGGCTCCCGGTTCTGGTTCTGTCGGCGTCGGTCCTGGGCACCGCCCATACCAACGTTGGCGACCTTTCGCTCCAACTCCTGGATCTCGCGCTCCTTCTGGGCCTTGGCATTGACCTGTTCTTGGCGCAGGACGCCAAGGACGTTCTGCAGAGTTGTCCTCCAGTGGTCGACTCGGTTGGCCAATTCTTGGTACTGCTTTTGACCGAACACACGGTATGTGACCTTGTGAACGAGGAACTTTTGACGCTGCTGGGAAAGTTTACCCTCGACGAGACCAGCGCGAATCACATCGATAGCCCACATCTCAATCTCATCCTCGGGGATCTGCAGAGCCTTGGTGATCTTGGAATATTCAATTTCGCGGCTGGGAGTGGAGGCGGCCAAGCTGGAGAATGTCAAGAGGCGCATCTTGCGGTGGAGCTTCTCGTGGTCCAGGCTCTCCTTCTCGACCCAGCCCTGGTGCTCATCGTTGAAGTCGTTGTAGTCCTCGAGGTCCTGCTCAGCAAAGATATCGAGAAGTTGCGAGTAGACTGGGTGGGAGTCGCTGAGGGCCTGCACGCTGGGAATGCCTCGGAGATCTTGGAAAAGGAAGTGGTTGCTGGAGGTAAGGGCCTTCTTGACAGCACGAAGGGACAATCTCTGGGCGTCTTCGGAGGAGATGGCGTCGCCGTCGAATGTTCTGAGGGCCTTGACAACGTACTCGTAGGCTTGTCTGTCAAATGTTTAGTAAGTCGTATTGCGAAGCAACAATGCAGGTGCGGCTATCCCTGTAGAAAGATATCAAAACTGGAACAGTCTGGATATCACAAACAGAATAAATCGCACGCCGTATGTCAGGGCGTGAACTTACTGCTCCTCGCCAGCCTCAAGGGCAACCTCGGCAACCTCCTCGTAGATCTTTCGCTGGAAATCGGCATCGGTTCCCCAAGTAGCGAGCCACTCGGGGAGCTTATCGAGGTATGTGCGCAGACTTTCAAACATGGCATGCGACCTCAAGAACTTGAGAATTTCCATAAAGACACGGGCGCGGACGGGGTTGCTGGGTTCGAGCAGGTTGAAGACGGTGGTCAGGGCGTTGAGTGACAGACCAACGCCGTGAACGGGAGAGTTGACGAGCGGCTTAGCAAAGGTGGTGCAGAGAGTAGGCAGGAACTTCTTGGGGTCGGAGGACTGCAGAACCAAATGGGTCATGAGGTTGGAAGCGGCGGTATACTCCTTCTCGGGGACAGTGTTAAGGGCCCCAGATGCAGAGACCAGCTTGGACAGAACCTCCTCGTTGGAAGGCTGCTTCTCCTGGCTCAGAAGCTGCTTGGCGTCCTCAGCCTTGAGGTACTCGGCCATCTCGGCGGCGAGATCCTCGAAAGATCCATCAACAAAGACCAGAGTGGGCTGGCCGGCAGTCTTGGTATCGGCCATGTTTGCCTTAGACTCCCACGCGGGGGGATTTTTCGATCTAAAAAGTATCGGTCGCGGTAGTCGTCGAGATTCTCGTTCCGGCCTCGGATATGCGGACGAGAAGTAATGAAATTAGCGAAGACCGGGGCGGAAGGGACGATCTCGAAGCGTTCGTTTGTAAGGTCGACGAGCGGAATAATGTGAAGTTTCTCGTCCCAGGCGAATAGCCCTCTCTAGTGGGGCCCTTACACCCCGCCAGATAGGTTTTCTCTATGTGTGGGCGCTAAGCGATAAGTCACGTGGAGATAACAAGCTTATTCAAGCTTTTGTAGGTACGTTTTGATGAAAGCCAACAAGTAATTCAACAGTTCATCTGGTATCACATATTGTAACTGTATAAGACGAGGTTGCAATAAATAAAAAAACACGAGACTTTTGGTACGCTTTCAATAGTTACTAAATGCTTAGCATCAACCCTCTTTCCCCATAATCCACCTCCCCCATTCTCTATGAGACATCATGTACTCAAGGAAACCAGACAAACAAAGTTACCCATAACAAACCCCAGTGATCCTTCCTGTACTGCCTCTATGGAAATTTCGCCGTAGAATAAGAAATATCAAGAAAATACTCAACAGAAACCCAACACCGATACCGGACCTACCAAGCCACACGAAAACATTCGATTCGACAATTGCAATACTGTTGGTTTATCGCTTGGCTTTGCTTGCCTTGATCTTCTCGCCATTGTCACCTGTGGGGTAAATGCTCGAGTCATCGTCCGGGAATAGTTCTTGGTCGCCCTTACCTCCCATCTCGATGAATTCGTCTGGTGCTCGTCGAGAAGCAGGATCAGACTCTTTTGAAATGTTTGTGACACGGCCTTTGTTCTTTGCAAATACCTTGACGGGTCGCTTGTCCTTGCCAGCATCGATTTGAGCGGTAACTTCAACAGTGTTGAGTGATGACAATAATGTTCGTTCACGGGCAGGAGCTCTTCGGTTGACTGCGAGGCCGGCAATACCGCCCACCAAGCCACCAGTGCTATCGTTGACGGAGGGGGAGCTCTGTGTGAGCCAGGGGTGCTGCAAGCACTGGTCAATCGTGTACCTCTTCTCGGGATCGACAATCAACATTGAGTCAATCAAGTCAACTACATAAGTCAGCAAGCCCCTGTTTCAAGTTCAGTATGGTAGGACTTACGGGCTGGGTCTCCAACAGAATCCCAGTACGGCGATGGATAGTCGAAACGGCCGCTCTTGATCTGTTGCGAGAGTGTGAAAGGGAAGTCGCGCGAGTAGAGTTCATCGGAGAATGGTGGGAAACCACACAGGCAGATGTAAAGAACAACCCCCAATGACCAGACGTCGACAGCCTTTGTGTACTTGCGTTGCTTAGAGTCGGCAAGGATTTCCGGTGCGACATAGCTAGGAGTTCCGCAGAGTGTGGTTGTGAAGGATTCCTCTCCGATGATCTTGGCCAACCCGAAATCCGCCAGCTTCACGTGGAGATTCTTATCTACCAACAAGATGTTCTCAGGCTTGATATCACGGTGCACAATGTTGCGTTCGTGCTAGGCAAACGGTCAGATCTGTATAATCCGCAAGAGGGCATCGACCCAAGATAGAACAACTTACCAAGTACTTGATACCCTGGAAAAGCTGCACGAACAACTTCCTAGACTCATCTTCGCTGAGCTTCTGCTTCATTACTATGAAGTTGAACAGCTCTCCTTCTGGCGCCAATTCGAGCACCAAGTAGACGCGATCTCGTTCGTTAAACGTGTCCTTCAAACAAAGGACATTGGGGTGGCTGACGCCCATGAGAACACCGATCTCCTGTTGCAAGCCCTCCGTCTTGGAGCGATCCTCAACCCCCGGGTGTTTTGTGAAGATTTTGACAGCAAAGCGTTGCCCAGTCGTCTTCTCGACGCAAAGGTAGACCTCTGCAAAATGGCCCTTGCCAAGTTTCTCGAGAAGAGTATACTGTTGTAGGAAAGCGCTGGTTTGGCGAGTCTGGGGGTACCGGAAGACGAAGCGCGCCTTACCGTGAACCGCAATCTCGTCCTGCTCCTCCAATTCACGGCGTTGGTTTCGTCCTACAATGGCCTCGTTGACGTATGTACCGTTACTCGACAAGTCTTCGACGATCGCCACTGTGTCGTTACCCTTGTTTTCAGTGAAAAGAAGGCAATGTCTGTTCGATACAATGCCATCGTTGACGACGATATCTGGCAAATGGTTAGTAACAAGAAAGTGACCTACAATCGCTCTGCTACTTACCACACTCAGGATGACGACCGATCAGATAGCCGCCAGAAGGAGCGCCCTTCTCCTTCTTTTTCTCAAAGGTCTCTTCATCTTTCATGGCTGCTGATTTGCCGTTCTTGTCGTTTGTGTTATTCTCATTCTCTTTCTTCGCCGCATCGGCAACTGTATCTGGCAATGGACATGCGCTTCGCTTCTTCAACACGATGGGCTTATCTCCGTACTTCGGATCCAAGGGAACAAGGTATCCCCAAACACCCTCGCGAATCTCATCTTCGATATCGTCTGAAATGGCGGGGTGGCGATCAACGAACTGGCTCAACGGCTGCGTGTCTTGGGGCGGAGAGGACAGCGCTTGGCTCTGTGAGTTGTCTTCGGATTTTTTAGGAGTGCTCTCGTTTTCCTTCTTTTTCGGAGAAGTCACAGCAGAGTGCTTGTTGACCTCGCTGGAGTCATCGGTAAGGTGTGTGAGAGGAGATGGAAGGTGTTGTTTGTTAACAACAGGAGTCTTGTCTGCGTCACCCTCGAGGCGCTCGGTTCTGCGAGGCTTCTTAGTCTCTGTCTCGTCATCCGGCAGCGAGCCCTGAGAAGGTGAAAGTTAGCGACAAGCGGCATGGGTAAAGCGCGACACGAGATGAAATAATGGATGTAAACGGGTCCAAAGGAATCTAGCATCAAGGCGACAGTCAAAGAAGAATGCCACTATTCAAGGTTGAAATAAAAGAGTGAGGGAAGGACTAACGCGCTGACGCTTCAATTGGCTCTTCTCTGGCTGCGGAGCCATGATGGTAGCTATACTGTACGGCCCAGTAGGGAAACCAAAGAGTAACAGATTGTAATAGTTAACGGTTGAGTGATACAAGTTAATGTGCTGATAATAACGGTAACGCTATTCGGTGGGGTTCTCCGGTAGTTGTGATGCCTTGGAAGAAGGGGAAGAGAAGAAAAGGGAAGATTATGGACAGGAGGAAGTCGAAACGAGCAAGGGCGTGAATCGAGCCTGGGCCAGGATGAAAGTACCTATTGTGGTGTTCCTGCTGAGCGAGCCGGGAGCCTAGAGCAGCTAGCTCAAGCTAAGGTACCTCAGTGCGACAACTGCCTAGATGGTGCCTGTCATTTAATTGGATCCAAACCAAGCCACTTTGAACAGCCTCGATGGAATTCGAGTCACAGATTTTAAAGGGTAAAAAAAAGTCTGGGCTGGTAAAGTAACATTTGTTTTTCTACTTATGCCAGTAAATTTTACATTTAAAATGTTCAAGAAACAATAATAGTGCTCATTCGGCCTGCTCAGGAAACGGAGAGAAGTCACGTTCAGTGCCATTTTTTGCCTCGTGAAATTGTCCATGACAGCATCGGTCGGCCCATCGCCTCGTCTCTTGTCTCTTGCTCACCTGTAAGGGGTGGATCAAACCTTTAAACCCACTGCAAATGGATCTCTCAGTCTTGCGTTCCAGTGGATCCCCTAGGTAAGAAGCGAGGCGTCGTTCATCATGTGAGCATCCAGTTAAAATCAATCCGTCTCTCGAAAGCAACGGCAAAACTCCCCGGTGGCAGTGTGCCTTACAAGTGGATCGATCCTTAACCAAGATGACATAACTCATGTAGAGATTAGAACAGATCGAGATATCAACTCACGCCCAGCGTACAGATGATCCCGAGTCTGGAAAATTCCACCACAAGTTACATACAAACCAGCCTACCTAGGCTGTGGTATTCTCCTTGTAATATCAACCCCATGCACTAAATTCTGTTCATGCATATCATCACCTGTCGATCCCGAGTCACGCCGCCTCTGTGTCTCTCTCTCTCGCCTGCCATCGTCACGCGCTCATAACAGCAATGGCTTCTCTAACATTGTCAGCCCTTCGCTCCATCTCGCGACAGCCAATTGATGGTGGGCTATTTCTTTGATACACTTGTTAGGAAATTACGAACCAGTGAGACTGATCAGGGTGAGCACAGCATTTATAATAAAACACAGTTTCGACTTGACATTACCATTATTCAATATCATGCCATGCATGGCCAAGTCTTTCCTCGTGATAAGTAGGTGTAAAGTAACCAATAGGAACTGCCGATAGCCAACGACCCGGCCTGCGTGCCATAATGCTGCTATTAGAGACATGTGTGCCACTGTGCTTCCTTCAAACATCCAAAGATACATAAAATATGCTCAAATCCTTCTCCTCTTTCATGTTGTCCCCTAGACTCCGTAGAGTCTCCAGGTTGACCTTTCCAGCCTTGTAGTGTAAAAAGCATTGTTGTCAACGCCAGTCAACGCCTTTGCGCCCAGCCATGTCTTTTATCAAAATGCCTGCCGTCCTTCCTTACCAAAGAGAATTCGTCGTCCATTAAACAAAGTCATTACAAGCAGACACCATGTTTGTTTTGCTTGTGTGATCGGGAAAGATAATAGAGAGAATAGCAGGAACCCAGGCCTGCCAGTTGTTCCCAGGATCTGGATTCCTATCTCTCGGGGATCGCAGTTCTGGCCAGCCTACCTCCTGTACTAACTCGCTTCTGAAGTCGAGCTTCTTTCTCGCGCTGAAGTTTCTCCGCTGGACTCATATTACCTGGCAGCGAGGGCACTGCGTCGCTTGATCCCCCTCCTACGAGCGTACGCCCACGCTTCTGCTCCACGTAGAGCTGCGCGTAACGGCCTAGGGGGAATGCTGGCATTGTTCCAGGAATTTCAGCCCCGTTCTGAACCAACAACTCGGCTACGGGAAATGGTACTGCTTTCGCCTCCGA